TTGCTACTAGTAGTAATGCCAGGAGCTACTAGTAGCTTCTTGCTACTCCAACGTAACGGAATGTCTGAAACAACAGGGCACAGCCCCTCTCCACAGGGCACAGCTGAAGGCCACGCCTCCGGGACCACCTGGGATGAGGACCAGGACTCCGGCGCGGTCCACTCAGAAGAATATTCACCCCACTGACCTTCTTCCTCAGGTGCCGCGGACCAATGACGGCAGCAAATCAGGAATACTCAAGAAGCACCTTTCAAATGCCAGGAAATGTATGTGGACAAACAAAACAAATCCAGGAGGAATCGAAGACTTTTTGCGGATCTCAACTTGGACTTGCAACCTTGCAGCCACCTCCCAAACATAGAAAAATCTGCTAGCAACAGGAAGTCCTAAATACAGCTTTTTTGGATTCCTGGAGTCTCAACTACTCAGCGATTCGTACTCTGTGACCTCTGACATCCTCTTACGAATTTCTGCTTTGACTTATCTTCAGGTGAATCATGCACCCATTTCAATCATGTAAGCATTTCACATCGCAGCCATGGCTTCAAAAATCGTCTCGGATCGACGTCTGCAGAAACTCAGCTCTTTGCGTACATTTCCACGGAACATCGCTGCTGCTCGTACGGGACATGCTCAAATGTCTCACCTCAAAAAAAGTGAGAAAGTCCTGGGAGGATGGAGGATGAGGATGATGTGCAAAATCGCCAATTCGCTGACGGTCGCACTCCACGACGACTGCCAGTTCCAGCTCTCACCTCCTTCATAGGGTGGAAGGTGGTACCTGCAGAATCCAAAGAATATGTTGTTTCATCTGGCGGCAAAAGGGCAAGGAACCTGCGTAAACTGCCACTTGGCACATTCAAGTCAGTCAAAGGGCGCATTTCGTTCTGATAGGGCATCATCTTGGCGACCGTGATCAGCTAGGAATACTAGAGCTTGGAATGACCACGAGTGAGTGCAAGTTCCCTGATGGCTGAACTCTATCTACAGCTACGCGTGTCCTGGACTTTGCCCCTCTGCAACCGGCAGCCCTTTTGCGATTGCCAGACTCAAGACAGTGGCTGGGAGCCATCAGCGGTTGGTCAGCAAAGAACATGGCCAGCGGTTGGTCAGAAATGGCTGCACTGCTCGTTACACTGCTGCAATGCCCCCAAACACAGTGTAGCCGTCACGCCTCGTGTCACTTTTGCCCGAAGTCGCGAACAGTGGAACACGGCCAGTGCCAGGGAGCGCTTCTTTGAAAAAAATGCCACTCCAAGAGGTCAGCGTCTTGACCACCAAGAGTGGAAGTGGATGGCATGGATGGCATGGATGGCATGGATGGCATGGGTTGTGGGAAGAGGACTACTCTCTGAAGACCCATGTTTTCAACCCTTTGCCACTTCCAATCCAGCAACTTCTGATTCTCTATGGACGCTGCAAAGGCCTCAGCTTGCGGATGAGGCAATCCATGTAGGCACCTTAGGTTACGTAGAAAGAGTAGCATATTCCTTCGAAAGAAGACATCGGTGTCTGCGAGTCCAGCAAAGCAAAAGTCTATTGAATAGCAGAGTTCAGACTTGTGACATCATAGTCCATGCATCTCAGGAGTCTCGCTTTTCAACCAGTAGCATGTGCGTTCATCAGCATGGCTTGGCCATCGCTGATCATTGTGCTCGAACATGTCCTAGGGATTCAGGGGCCTGAGTCTAACAAGTACACTCACAAAATGAGCCATAGATGTTTCTCAAGATGAGGGTCTCCTAAATCCCCATTTCGATGATTCATCCAAACCTCATCATCAAAACTTGCATCACAACCCGTACAGTTCCTCCATGGAATTCGGGCGGATGACAAGGCGAACGACTTCATCCGGTGAGACTTGAGCAGTTGAAGATTTTCCATTGCTCTGCCTTTTTCTGCTTCGGTGTGGGGTCAACAACCAAAACCACATGGCCGGATTTCAGTATTGGAACTGCCCCATGGCCAGCTCACTCAGGTTTGGCGGTCTTTGGCGGCATCTTGACTGAATAGACCCTTGATGGAGTATAGTAGCGATCCAACTCCACCTCAGGCAGCGGAAGGGTAAGGGCGGTACGAACGGTAGGGGGTTCGGATTGAAGGCATCCTGCTTAGTTAAGGCTTTTCACCATTTCACTCTTGTCCAAACCAAAAAACAGCGTTTTCATCCTCCGGAGTTGGTCCAAAACGGCACTGCCTCAAGGCTCTTGTCCTCAAACCAGCCATCCAGATCCTTGTCGACAGGCCTCGACAAGGTGATCATCGGATTCTGAGAGGATTTCCCGACGAAGAGCAAACCGTCTGCTCCAATGCTGTGAGTGGTTTTCTCCTTGCCCACGGCCACTTCAAGATCATGTCCACTGGCAACGTCCGAGACTCGGATGGAATCGCAAAGGAGTTGCCCCTGGGGCGGATGATCTTCTAATCTCAGAGGCTTCAGCACATAGGTGAGAGGTTGTACTTGAACCTTGTCTTCGAGCACAGCTATCACCTTCTTGGCCGTATCGCTGGCCGACACCTTGTAGGAGATCAGGTTTGGATCCGTCTGTGCGAGCTTTTGACACATCGTCTCGGCATCCGACTCACCGGTGTGGAGAATCACGGTCGTGACGCCCTTGTCCATCAAGCCGCGCAAAGGCACTTCCGGCTTTCCGGTACAGGTCAGACCGGTCTCCTTGTTGCAAAACGAGTCTTCCCTTAGCCTGTGGCCCTGCCCTAGGAGTAAGTTTCTAGCTACTGGGACGCTACTACCTTGCTGGACGCAGGATAGCTCACGCTTCTTCAAGGAAGCTTCGAAGTTCCCCCCCGCCTGAGGGCAGGGGAGCGGGGGAGCTTCCTTGAAGAAGCGCTCGCACGAATGATTTCGTTCCCAGGCCGCTACCACTCCGCTAGACCGGTCTCCTTGTTGCAGAAGGGGTCATGATCTGCAGTGCTGTACTCCTTGCCATGGCACGGAGCATCGGTGATGACGATCGCTAGCTTCTCCTCGGCGGTCCACTCGAGGTGCGAGGCGGCCAGCAAGCCACCCGTCAGCTCCTCCGGGATCTTCCCACCATGTCCTCAGCTCAGTTAACGCCCTGTGTGCGTTTACTCAAATAGAAGTCCTGGTGCACCCAAAAACCGTCTGGAGACGCCTGAGCTTCTTGCCATTCAATAAAGGAATGTCAAAGGACACATGAAAAGACCAAAAAAAGCAAGACAGTCTCAGGAACAGCAAGCTGAAAGAAAAACGCCTTTTCAAAGTTTGAGGCTCCCAAATCTTGGTTGATCCACTTCGCAAGTGTTGCCGCATCCTTCGTCCAAGTTCCACCCAAGTCAAAGCTCTCAATGGGCAGGCTCTCGTCATGATCAATATTCTTGATCTCCTGACCCCCAAAGACAGCCACGACTGGCCTCCCTTTCTTCTTGGTATCAGGGTCCCAATCGTTGTAAGCAATCGCTGTCATCTCCACCTCCACCTTGGCATTTGGCATGCTAGTGATCTGAAGCTTTTGCATGGCTTCAGCGATTTTTGCGACACTGTCTTTGGTCTGAGAAATCTGAGTCTTCATGCTTCCGGTGTAGTCCAAAATGAAGCAAAGCTGAACGGTGAGGCTGGTCTTCGCAGCATCTACCTTGGGAATGCGAAATGTCTCAGGAACTTTCTGTATGCTATACACACAAGGGATGTCTTCCTTCTGCAATTTTGCATCCAAGGCCAACTCCAAAGAGCCAAGATAGGTCAGCGCATTCTTTGAGTCAAAGCTTTTTTGCAATTCCTCCTTTGCATATTCCTTCCTCGGGCCGTCCTCCTTGGGTACTGACAAGTCTTGCAGAATGGCTCGATACTGCCACTTCTGGGTCCGGAGGTAACACAAGACCAGCAGCGCGACTGCTGCCAAGAGGGCCAGAATCAGCAGCACGGCAATGATGATCCCCACTGGACTACCGCCACTTCCACTGGTTGGTGCACTTCCCACTCCGTCATCCACCGAGATGAAGGGGTAGCCAGCCTGACCTCAGGGTGCACAAGTTAAAAGGCTTCGGGAAGCAAACATCATGATTTGCGGGAAATGTCCTGAAGACACAGCTGACAGGTGAGGTAAACCCCACCGGCAATGCCCATGCTCTTTCCAAAACTGGATGGCCACTCAAAAACAAACCTACTCTTAGGCCTCGCCTGGTGCGTCCTTCATCAGGGTCATAATGGTTACGGTCGATTGGTCACGCTGGAAGGTTCCTGGCTGGCAATTGGAGCGCATCCAGCAATGGTTCTTGGATGAACTCCATCTTTCCTGGGACTGGATAATCACACATTGACATTCTGCATTTTGGGTACAACGGTCAGCACACTCCATCTCCGTGCCGAAGGAATCCGCCTCCTTCCCTGAAATGAGCCGACTGTCCGAGTTCGCTGTGGTGCCTGGGAAGACTGAAAAGTGCTGAAGACGCTGGGGCAGCTTGATGTGCAGCTCCAAAGGCCCCCCTTCTTGAAAATCCGGATGAAAGTAGAGGCAATCACTCTGCATTTTGCAGCTGCTGTGAATGGGATCATAGACCACGCAGTCACACTCAACCTCTTGGAGGCACGCATTCTTGCATGATACCGCGCTGGAGCCTCCAGTGGGACTGCCAAGAGGAGTGCCAGGAGCGTCGGACACCCCTTGAATTTCAATGAACTGACCCCCGTTCGAAAGTGAGCACAAACGCGCCACAAGGAGCAGCTGAATCACTTTGGAAACAGCTGACATGGCTGCCGGGTCAAAACCAGCTTGAGAATCTCTGCATGTCAAAGACACTCAAGGCTCTCAAGGCTGAAACCACTGAATGAATTTGAACTGTCTTGGTAGGTAATTATGCTAGCCCTTTTTGGATTGACGCAATTGCACATTCTCATGACGCAAGCGCAACATGTCAAGTTGACTTCAAGTCACGTTAAGCTGAGGTTGCAACAGTCCCAAAACTTTCAGCAGCTATGAAACCTCAGCCGCCGAAACTATGAAGAGACGGCAGTTTGCATTCCTGTAAGTAAGCCGCTACGCAGGACACAGGAAAGTTCAGGCTTCTTCGAAGTTCCCTTCGCCTGGGGACGGCGGGGAGTTTCCTGGAAGAAGCCTTGGCCTCAATTAATGATTTGGTTCGTAATTTTTTTGGGGGAAATGATATTTCATGATATCTGCTCGTTGCTGGCTGCTGGCTGCATTGGAAAAATAAAACTAGAAACAAAAATAAATACGATTGACATGCTTTGGCAAGTGTCAGGTCATTTCAAACACACCAAGGCCGCCAAACCCAGCTCAGGATGTGGAATTGTGTTTGTGTGCATTGTGCAACATTCCATCTTTTTTGTGCTCTACATATACGAGCAATCCGTGCGGGACTGCCTATGCGAGTCGCAAAAGAAACAAAACACTGCAAAAAAAATGCACAACAAAGGGAAAATTCAATTACGTACCATCGTCATACTTGCCATGAAGTGACCTGATTGCTAGTCCCATGATTGAAAATATTCCTCTTCGAATGCCACTGAGGGCTCCGCATTTGAAGGCAACCACCAGGTGTTTGATAGTTCTCATTGCGCCAACAATGTGATAGTGGACACACCACCGACTGAGCTTTGCAACCAGCATTACAAGTTGCATGCATGGCAACAAAAAACTATTGAAGTTTGCAAACGTGTCCTCCTATGCTCGTCAGCACGGTGGGCACTAACACGGAGCAATGGTATCAAAGCTGCGGCAAAATGTCCATGACCGAACCTCTGCCTGTGAAAATCATGCGACATGTTGTTTTCTAAACAACTCGCTGTTGAACGCCGTTGTGCGATAAGAGGAACCTTCTGCATGGTTGGATCCTGCTTTCCAGTTTTGACAACACTACTTTTTCGCAACTTCACACTTGTCTCGCTTCATAACACCATTTCACAAGGCCAAAACAATACAAGTATAATGTTTTTTGATCGGGAGTGATGGGACGATGGCAGTTTGGACGTTGACAGACTTTTTTTTTCATGTGCAAAATGATACAAACCAACAAACAATTTAGTTTTTTGTTTTAATCATGATGTTCGTCACGTTTTTTGCGTTCTTTCCACACGCTAGAACGCCAAACTGCACAGCAACGGTTTGATTTTTTGAGTTTGACCCTTGTTCAATCGATCACAAAGTTGCAGCCTTGAATGTTTTAAGAGGAATTTGGATCACGCGGGTTGGATGAGGTTTGTCCAATGTCTTTTATTTGTTCAAAAGGTTTGGGCCTCCAAGATCAAGCCAGGCTGATCCTGCAACAACAAAACAGAATTCCCATGCCCCATGGCCAAAACATGTCACAAAACTCTAGTTTTTAAGAATCAGGTGGCATGGGGCTGAAACTAAATTGGCCATGATCCAGAACCGTGGTTTGGATCAGACTGTTTTCATTGCTTCTGCTTTCTCTGAAATGCAAGTTGCTCGCATTGCAAGTCCGTGGATGTTTTTCCTCCATAGGACCTTGTTCACTCCGTCACGGTCCCCAGTGCACTTTTGGTTGCAAACAGGTCCCTCCGGCGGGCACAACAAAGCCTTTGGCTTCAAAATCCCAATGGCAGTTGGGACAGGAGCACCATGGCAGGCCAATGAACTTGACCCAAAACCCAAAATCACCCACTGGATCTTGAACCTGATCTAGAGTTGTAGACGGTGCCAAGTGCGCGAATTGATACAAACTGGTGGATCATCCAGGCACTTGCGGCATGGCGAGCGTCCAAACTGGAGTTGGATGGTGGCCATCCTTCCCACTGGTCTCTCCAGTAAGCTCAACAATCACCAGAAGGTCAGGAGAAAACTTCGTTCAGACGGAGTGGCCAAAGTCACAGTCCGTTCAGACTGTCTCAAAGCTCACAAAACAGGTCTCATACCCACCAGAGCTGTCTCCAAACAATCTCAAGCTGCCTCAAACTGTGCACAGCTCCAACAGGTGCTTCTCTGTTAGATAGCGAAGCCCATCCCTCGCGCTTGTTTTGGGACTCAAGCGCTGCGGAAGTACGAGTAGTTTTCAACTAGCAAACTGCATCTTCTATACATGCTAGTTCATCCAACAAACTCTAACACCCCGCCTAAAATTGAAATGGCGAGATTTCGAGTCTTTCGATTTTCCATTCCTGTACATTCCATCACCATCAAGAAGGTGACCACAGACTAAGGTCGGAATGTAAATTGCTATGAAACGTGTTCACTCATTTCTTCGAACTTTGAATTCATTCGTAGTGTCCAGTTGTCGTGACATGCACTCATCCATCTTCCTGTTCTGGTTCAGCAGTCGTATCACCATGTCGAAGTGCACGGGCATAGGCCACACGTCGCCGCACACTCTCATTCTGCACTGCCGAAATGCGTTCCTCTTGTTCCGGTTCTGGAACTTCGACTCTTCTAGATCCACTTGGCTTTGGTTCTTCACTCGACGAAATCACTGTCTCTTCTCTCGCAACTTGATCTGTCGTGTTCTCTGCTTCTTCTGCTTCTTTCTCCTCTTCACTTGTCGAATCACCATGATGTACTGCCATCCAAAGATCTGGATCGCTTGCTTCACTCAAACTGCACCACCTGTAGCGCATCTTCTTATCTTCCTCCGGTTCATCCTCAGAAACTTCAAGCTCATTTCCTGAAGTTCCACTGTAACCATCTGTTGCGCTGCCACTGCCGCTCGATCGTGGGAATGTCTCTAAACTTCCAAGCGACAAATCACTGATCAACTGACGAATTGCTCTTCGGGATTCCGGCTTATCATACCGAACTGCTATGCTCACCAATGCTATCACCATACGTCGTTTCTCCTGCAAATCAAATTGCACTGCATAGTCCTCGTGGCTCTTTCGAAGCTCATTCTCAATCCAATTCAAACCAAGCCTCAAATCCTGTTCGATTGACCCTTCTGCAAATGGTTCCGGTTCGTCAGCCTGTACGGGGATGGTTTCCCCGCCTGTGTTCATACTCCAGCTTCGTACAAGGAAAATCACCGATGAAGCGAATGCCACACAAATGCCTGCCACGAAGAGTAAAGAAATGATTCCACTCACTTCTCTTTCAGACTGATTGCAACCCTGAAGTCCTAAACCAATGGTCATCAATGTACCAAGGTTGTATCGATTGAATCTTCGTGCAAATGCTGTTTGTACTGTTTGGATCATCAACTTGCTATTGCAATGCTCGAAAAACTCTCTAGATCCAATTCTCGTTTCAATCTCAAAATCTTCAGTCACTAAGACCGTTTGCAAGAAGAATAGAAGGAAATGTCTTCGACTTACACTGAGTTTCTTCGTGTTGAGGTCTGCAATGTTGAGTTTCGTGGATATAGGTTTGATATCAACAGAACCATCTTGTATGAGTTTCTGTGTCCACAACAGTCTCACTTGATAATGTTTCAATCTGCCAACTCCACTACGTTGCAACCATTGCCTTGCTGAAGATGAATCGGCTCGAATGCAAATCCTGGCAACATCTTTCACCAAGAACTCCCAAACCTGTTTCACCAAAAGCGTTTCGCTCATTCCTCCTGTCAACGCCAAAAGCTCGGCTTCGCAAGATGAAAGTGCTATGCTCTTTTGGGCCCTAGAATGACTGTGCATTACAATGCTGTTCAAACAAAGGATGCCAGCTGATGTGCTTTTGCGGGAATGTGCACTGCCAGCCCAATCCGAGTCTGTAAACAATTCGAACAAATGTGCTCTGCCACTGCTTTCCTGTTCACCTTCTCCTGGGACATTGTTCAGTTTCCATGTCGTCGAGTTTCCTGACTTGATTGCAAACTGACAATCGATTAGCTCTTGAGCAATGTACATCAAAGTTCCCAAACCACTGCGAAAAGATTTTCACCGCTCTGGATCGACGTCTTCGAGGCTCTCGCTGCAATCCACTTGTCCCAACAGCTGATGATCCGGTGTTGCTTTGGATCGCTTGTTTTCTAGTCCATATAGTTTGATCAATGCATCAAAGTACTTTTCATTGGGTTTCACGAAAATTCCTTCAGGAGTGAATTTGTACTTCTTTTTCAAATAACTGATTTCCTCTCCAGCTCCTACACTGCCCAAAGGAACCGGACCTTCAACCTGAAGCTTGTACCTTGCCTTCAATGCTTGCAAAAGCCACTCTCCATCTCGGGGATCTTTCACAGCGACTACGATGTCATCTACACGCATGTTGATTGCTGCTTGCTTTGTTGTATGTCGAAACACCGAGGGCATAGCTAAGCAAGATTCGAATCCAAGCTCACTCAACACCTGCGAGAAAGAAGAAAACCATCTCTTTGCTCCATTACGTTGTCCGGGTAACACTTTCTTCAATCTCCAAACTGTGTCATCTGAAACTTGCAAAACTGACTTGATCCAAGGCCTCAGTTCTACGATGCATTCCTCAACCTGATCGACCGTCAAATAAGCATCACTGATATCTAGGCTGAGAAGTTTCCAACGAAAGTTCAAATGCAAGACAAAGAATAGCCTTACTGCTGAAGTCGCGGTTGTTGGTGAAAATGTCTCCTGGTCAGAATGCGCTCCAGCCCTGAACTCTCGTGCAACTATCCTGCAACGTCTTTTCCAAGCTCCTTGTCGATGTCTCCAATCGTACACCTCTTTCAAATCGATGAACTTCGTCTCCTGAAAGTTCACTTCTCCTACTTTCACTTCTTCAACCACTCCAAGACTCTTCAACTTCGAAATTTCGTCAATCATGGCCTGATCGTCCAACTTCTGTAGCTCTTCTGCCGAAATATCGGGTGGTCGCTCACCCTCAAAATCAATGTCATCCTGAAACAACTCGGGGTCAAAATCAAAATCTTCTTCTGTCAAATGCTGCTCAACCTCTATGTCCCAAACTTCGTCATCATGCGGTTTCATTTCAACCTGGCCAGCAAAATACGGTGCATACAAACGATCATGAACTCCACTAGAAGGACTTC